CAAAGACATTTTTGCAGAAAAATCATTGCATGAAATGCAAATTTTAATTTCATCCAATTAGAATAACTCTAAAATATAAGATAAATGCCAGCTCCAGGCTTTAAATAGTTATCATGGGTTATTCTTTGTCAACCAATTTTATAATTCTATAAATCAAGAGATAGGTGCCTGGAGAAAAAGACCTCGATAAATTACCAATTTTGAGTAAATCACGATTTGCCATGATCTTGCCATGATCATAATATAAATTCAAAAGTTTTATATGTAATTCTACTATCTCTGGTTAATTTCAATAAATTAAATAACCAAATATGCTTAATTTTCGCAATATATTTGCTATCATTAGTGACAAATAATTTGAATAAAATTTCATCATTTAGCTATGGAATAAAATATTTATAGTAGTAAACATTTTTATATACGTATTATAGTATTAAAATTATTAAATACATACGTGAAATATCATGATAATAATTGTCAGAAATTGAAAATTCGATTTTATTAGAACCTAGAAAATTAAAATTTAAAAGATTTTACCAATTAAAATTGAACATATTATAATAAATGTAAGTACTTACCACACATATTTAACGATCTTACAAATGAAATAAATGAAAAATTTATTGGTTCAGAAAGATCTTTGAAGTTATGAATTTACTTGTAAGTTTATTTTTAGGATAAATTGACAAGTCGGTTAATAACGTTGGAATAATTGCATCTGCAGATTGGAACGCTTTTAATATTGTCAATTCATTTTTATCTTTTGCAGCTCTATCATTTACTATTTTATACCATCTATGCAATTTATTATGGTCTATTAGAAGGAACAGCATCCATACATTGATTTGCTAATTTGGTAGAGCATTCAGGGGTGCCTTTAGCAAATTCAGGACATAATCCTTTACATATTTCAATAGCCAGCGCTTCATCGTACTCAAAATCGTAATAAGGTGGTCTTCCTGTAGATATTTTTGCCATAATAATACCAAAACTATAAATATCTGCTATTGTATATTGTTTTTTATTTAACACTTCAGGAGCAACGTAAGGTAAAACTCCATATATATTATCTTCTAAATCTGATTCATCTTTCTTTCTAGACAATCCAAGATCTGCAATATAAGATTAGGGTTCCTAAGTCCAGTTCAGTTCAGTTTAGTTCAGTTTAGGTTCAGTTTTTAATTTCAATTAAACCTAAAGAAAATTCTAAATTTTACAAATTTTAAAACTTAAATCTTTTATATTTAAGTTTAAAAATTTGTAAATTTTAAAATTTTCTTTAGGTTTAATTGAAATTAAAAAC